CAGAGACCAGAACCCAGAGCCCTTGTGGGAGGGTCTGCAGCGTCCATCCGAGCCTTTCTTGGGTCTGATGCCCTGTGCTCCTGCTAGGGATCACAGAGCCTGTTCTCATTCCTCAGCTCATGTGAGCTTCAGGTGACTCCGGGAGTGAGCAGGCCAGCTGCATAAGGATAGATCTAGCACTCTAGGAGATGAGAAAATTGGACTGGCAAGCCACAGGGTGAGTGAGGCCAGAGCTGAGATCAGAACTTTCCATAACTGCCCATCAGCAAAACCATAAACAAATGTCATTTTGACACCCTTAACATTCAGCATAGCTCCTGGCATGTGGTGGAAATTGGATAAATGTTTGCATATGAATGAACAAATGAATGAATGGGTCAATTCCAGAGACTGGCATTCTGGGGGGCAAAGGCATGGGCTGTGGAAAGAGAAAGAAAGCAGCATTTACTGAGCACCTTCTAGGTGCCAGGTGTCCTCTGAGCATCCTTTCACTTACTCCTCTCAACAGCTAAAGCTCAGACCAGAAGTAAGCTGTCCCTCCCTGCAGGAAGCTTCCTCAATGTCACTCAGGGCTTTGGTGCAGCTTCCCTGCCTCCTGTTGGCTTTGTTACCAGCGGACTTATCCAAATCTCCTGATTCTGTCTATCTTTCAGCAGGTGGAATCCTGTTGTCCTTTGTCTTACATCTCTCATTCTGCACAACCAATAGTCTGCAACCCTTCTAAAAACAAAGCCTCTTAGATTTTGCTTTCTTCTCGTCCTCTCTCATGGACCCATGCCATTGCCCCTCACCTCTCACCCACACCTTAGGGGGCAACCAGAACCCTATTTTCACAGCACAGACCTGCTTAGGTTACCACCCAGCCTTGCCACTAACTCTTCCTCTCTCCTAAGATCAACAGTACAATGCCCAAACCCTTAGCAAGGCACACATAGCCATCTTTCCAACTCGGCCATCCGCTTCTCCCAGTGACCTGCACACCCCATGGTAAAAGCTCACGCATAGAGGCTGCTCAGGAACACTTCACCGTGCTGGGTTTCCCATTTAACTCCACAAGAGCCCTGTCAGGTGGCAGCATTAGCACATGGCTATTAAGTGCTAACCTGGCAGAGTTGAAAGTGGCAGAGTGAAGCCTCAAACTTAGGACTCCTGGTAGTAAGTACCTGGAACAAAGGCACCTAGTCCTAGAATCATGAGACCTTCATGTAAGTCCCAGCAGACTGAGAACTTTAATGTGCTCATGTTAAAACATAGCTAAGCAGTTCTACCTTTGCAGGCTGTTGGGTTTTAACAACATAATATTTGCAAACTGCTCATGAAGAGTTCCCAGAACATGCACTAGCACCTCCTGAACAGCCACTACCTTAACCGTTATCAATAGTAGGATCCCCTCCAAGTGACCCCTTCTGCACTAAGGGCTAGAGCTGTTACCTGTCTGTGGCTCCTTGAGGGGCTGTGGCTTCTGTCCCACTCCACACCTGGAGCTTCAGGGGTTTCTCTTCCTGCTGCCTGGGTTCTCGGCTTTGGCTCCTGGACAGCTGAGAGGTGTTGGACCTCAGAGAGGTTTTGTGGGAGTTGCGGCTGGCCAGCCTGCAGCAGAAGAGCTGCTGGTACCCGGTACGGAAGTCCCTGTTTAGGGCAGCATACAGGATGGGGTTCAGGGCTGAGTTGGCATAGCCCAGCCATAGAACAATGGCTTCAAACACCTCATTGATGGCGTCATCCCCTCTCAGCCCACGGTACACAAACACAGTGAAGTAGGGGAACCAGCAAATGATGAAGGCCCCCATTACGGCAGCCAGTGTCACTGTGGCTTTGTGCTCCCTGATGGTGGCTGCCTTCCAGGAGCTGATGTGATTGATCCTCTTGGCCTGATCCCGGGCCACCTTGAAGATGCGGTAGTAAGTGACACACATGATCAGCAGAGGCAGATAGAAGGTGACCAGCCCATCCACCAACCCATACACTTCATTGACCTGGACTTTGCACTTGGGTATGGTATGATTGACCTTGCTGGCCTCATTCCTGCTGTTCCACCCCAAGTGAATAGACAGGAATGACAGGGTAATGGAGATGACCCAAATTAAGACTAGAGAGACAGCAACCCGAACGGGGGTGACCAGCACTGGGTACCGCAGTGGGTCCATGACGGCGCAGTACCGGTCCAGGCTGATCATGAAGAGGTTGAGAATGGAGGCCGTGCACAGCATCACGTCCA